CTTATTGGCTTTAAAATTTAAACTAACAAGGATCTTTTCATTGGTTGGTAAAATATTAAAAGATAAAGTGCCTATGCCATTGTTATATAAAGCTGAAGCAATCTTAAAGCCTTATATATAAGAAGATTTAGCTTAGTTATAAGCAAAGCTTACAATTGAAGCTACTGTCATATTTGATGAAGGTCATTCAAAGGCCATAAATATAAAACCTTCAAGTGAGGTGTCATTGACTATTGAGATAGCATTTTTATTTGATATTATAGCTAAATCTACTCAAGAATGTTAAAATTTTTATCCAAAAATTATATAATTAGTTAACAATAATAATATACTTATTGTTAACCATACAAATAGTAATACCACTTATACTACACCTTTTTCTTGTTCTATTGGATTTTGGAGCTTAGCTAGTTATGATCATCATTCACAACTTCATATTTTTAACTTCATATAATTGGATAAGATTTGATAAATCATTTAATAGAGCTTTATACAATAATGAGGGCTTAATTAAAAGAAGCTTAAAATCAAAAAAATATCAATATGGATGCTTATTGCAAAGAACAACTTCAATACCATATTGGTGACAAGATATGATTACTTTATTAAAAATTTCAAGACTTCTAGCTTTTGTGACAAATTGGATCATTGTAGATTTGAACCATTTCATATCTGTAAAAAAATCAATTTAGTTGTTAAGTGAGTATACTGACAAAAATCAATGAAGATCTACCTTATATTTCACGTGTCTCTTCTTGAGTTATATAAAATAGTAGATATATCTGATAGAAGATAAATGCCACCTTTTCCTATAAAACTAAAAAGTTATTAAAATTTTGAAGTTAAAAAAGTCTTAGACTCATGGTGATGCCAAAATAGGTTAGAATATCTTTTATGTTAATATAGATATGATATTAGTAAAAATATATAAGAACCACCTAAAAATCTTAAAAATATAGTAAAAAAACTTGATACTTTTTATTAATAGTATCTACCAATGCAAAGTTGAAGAGTTAAATATTTTTTTGTTATATAAAAACAAGATTTAGTAAAAATTACAATCTATCTTTTATCTTTATTTGTGATTTTTGTTTATTTGTAGCACTAAAAAGATAAAAAATCTAAAACCAATAGATTCAACTCAAAAGCTATTGTTTGTTGAGTTAATATATGGAACATTGAGATTTTTATAATCTTCAAGAATAATATGTTTTTTTTAAATAGATAATAATATATAAGATATTTAACATAAAATCTAAGAAGAAAATTTTGATGTTTGGTGGTATTATTAGAAATAAAAAATATTATTAATAATATATTAAATACTTTATTTGAAAAAATTTATAAAAGTCTTAATAATGATAAAATATTATGGTAGTTTCTAGAAGGAAGGTAATATCATGGATATATATATATATATATATATATATATACCTAGATTAAAAGAATTACATAGAAGTAAGTAGAAATAAACAAATTTAATAATATCTTATATATTTAATAAATTTGATAATATCTTTGACTTTGTATATATTTATAATTAATTGATAAATTAAAAACTTATCAATTATTATCAGGCATGTAGAATGGAATTGAGAAGATGGCAAAGGTTGAGGGAAGGATGGATGCCAAGAAATTTGTATAAATTTTTGAAAAAAACCTTCTCCTTAGCATTGAAGAATCTTGCATTTCTAAAGAAGAAGTGATTTTTTAGCAAGATAACGAGCCCAAGCATAACTCAAAACTAACATCAAAGTGATTTGATCATCATGGGATTAAAATAATGGATTGGTCCACTTAGTCTCTTGATCTTAATTCCATTAAACATCTTTGGAAGGACCAGAAATGCTAGCTCAACACCTAGAAAATAAAACCAAAGGCAGTTTGGAAATTATAGAAAAGAATAGCTATGGAATAGAATAACATTGAAGTAGTTTTGCACCAAAAGTTAATAGAAAGTATGCTTAGGAGGTTGGAAGCAATTATCAAGGCCAAAAGAAGTTCTACAAAGTACTCATATGTAATTGGATACCACACTCAAAAAAATGTTTCAATACCATTTCAAAGTAGATTAGTCATAGCTCTACAATTATCTAATGGATTCTTTTCAACTTGGGCTCATTTGATAGCCGTAAAAGAATACTTTATTTGCTATACAAACCATGTGTCGTTATTCACTATAATTCATCTATAATACATCATTTTTTCCAAAATATATCAACATTAAAATAATATTTTGAATCATTATAAATAAAATACATTTAAAATTAATAGATAATTAATATTCAAAAAAAATTATTATTTTGTACAAAAAAGGTGTTAATATTCTTATACATAATTTATATTAAAAAAAGGTTGATCAATAAAAAATATAAATGTTGTTAATATGGTTTATTAATTTTTTTATTTTTATCAATTCAATTATGCCAATATATCATAGATATGTTGTAAATATTAGATACTTATAATAGATTTATTAATAAAAATCTTTTAATACTAATTAAAATAATTTGATAAATTTTTTAAAAATAATAATTTATGATATATTTTCTTATATACACATGTTTAAAATGCAATGATTTACTTACACTCAACAAAAGTTTTGTTTACATTATTATGTAGTAATAGTATATAATCAAAATTTTATAACTTAAAAACAAAAAATAATAATAATTCTATAAGACAATTACATCTAATTCTTCACAACATAATTTCATAAATGTATACAATTATGTGATTTATAATTCATCTTTATCAATTATATAACAACTTGTATATGATAAACATACTATTATCAAAATATATAATTTTTATTGCAATAACAAAAAAAAATTATAATTTTATCTTTCATAAAAAATTACATATAAGAATAATAATTGTAAAAAATATAAAAATATAAATCAACCTTCATATAGTGAGTTGATAAAGATCCAAAGCAAATACATACCCATAGGCCAAGTTTGTTCTTACATTGATTATTACACTAATTAAGCCATTTTTTATATTTTTAGTTGTGCCATTGTATTAAATTTAATACAATTCCATTCTAGTAGCTAATTTTACCTTCAATTTCACTCAATACCATCTTTTATATAAAATAGTTCAAGGAAGGACAAACCAATAGGATAAACAAGAAGAGACAAAAATCCTCTTGCATTAGTTGCATGTATCTTTATTTTCATCAAAAGTAAAGTAATAATTTATAAATTACTAAAGCTTTACATCAAATATAATTTACTTCTACTTCAAAAAATGATCTTAGTACTTGAAATCATTTGATGTTGTTGCAAACTTTGTATTTCTTTTATAAAAAGTTTTTTCTATACTTGAGATCATTTAATGTTGTTGTCGAGTTTGTATCTACTTCTAAAACTAAACAAGTTGAATCTATCCTATATAAATGACACATGATGCCCGCTAGATTTTTTTATTTTATTTTCCATCAATTTCATAGTATGGATGTCAATTGTTACATCAAGGACTTTGTTGCACTTACCAATGATGGTGCAATTCATCAATGGACTCATGGAATTACTAATCTTATAATTAATATTTATAGTATTTCATCTACTCCAACAACTCACCAAGGGCCCTTTATTTATAAAAGAGACATACTAAAGAGTATATTTGTTGAGGTTGGAATGTCCATTGAAGTGACATAGCTTAGTACACTTTACACATGGCATGTTCTCTAGAGAGATGTATCTTTGGAATTACAAGCACTTGGTAGTCCTTTGTATCATGATTCTAGAATGAGAAGTGTTATATCATCTTTAGATGATAATTAGTCAATTAATTTCATAAGTTAGTGCTTGATTTATTGAAGATTTTGCAATAAGTACTAAGTTTTAGGACATATCTAATATATCTTAGAAAAACATTCATAATCAAAGAAATTGATGCTCATTGGTTTATTGATGCATGAGAATTTTGGATTGAAGAACTAGGTTTGCAATCCAGGTGATATACATAGAGATACTTTTGTATTACTTGAATTCAATATAGTTCAACACTATCTACTTAATTTATAGCATAAGGACAACTTATGTATAATAATGAAATAATATCATTTAATTATAGACATCACAAGTAATGTATTTGTGATTGTTATAGCTACTATTATCATTACAAAATATAGCTTCTTTTCAATTCTTATTCATGTTTATAACCATAAGGTTGCTACATGTAATATAATATGTCCAAAGCATACACATGCAAGTTTTACAGCAATAGTTTGCTTAAAACCATGGTCCAAATATGTTCTAGATTAAAATAACACAAGAAAGAAAAGATGTTGCAAGAAATTAATGGAATATACGTTGAGTTGCAAGAATTATTTTCAAAAGATATTCCATATTGTAGTCATTCTTGGATGTTGAAGGAATAATAATTGATTAGATTTGGAGTCCTAATCCATCAACTTAATATGGTGACAATATTATTGCAAAAACATATGTAACAAAGACCTTAAAAAAGTGCATTTAAAATATATATATATATATATATATATATATATATTAGATATGCACATTTGGGTAGAGTCAAAAGAAAGCATGTATGATGAAATGATTCTAAGAACTATCTACCTTCACCACATATGATTTTTGCAAGTTGTATTTAATATAAAATTAAATATTTGTAGTTTGTCAATATATAATCCATAGTTAAATTCCTATCACATGTTTAGTATATTTTCCTACCATGAAATTATTTTTTTAGTTATGTGACTTATCATTTTGTGAATGTTTAACCAATTGGATGTGGATGAACAAAAGAATAACCAATGATGGTCAAAAAGTTTTTCGTTGGGTGGATATTTTGACAAAGTGGATCACTTCTTTTTATTACAATTTTATGAAATCATCTCACGTATAGTTTTTCATAAACAATTGTTTTAAATCACAATTCTAAAATAACAGAAGTACATATTGTTATTAATTAACAACCACATTCATTAAATGTATATAAGTATGTATACTTACACATACCTAAAAGCTCAATTTTACAACATTTTGTTTTATTATTATTATTATTGTTATTGGAGATGTATCCAATCTCTATTATAAACATTTTCACATATTTTCCGTGACAACTACAGGGGTTTAGTATTTAAAGAATTTACCTGTGTTTGTAGCAATATCTAAACATACTTCCGTCAATCCATTCTCTTCCTTCAATACCTACTAATATCTCATTAACATTGGTAGCATAGTTGAGACCTTCAAAACTGCATTAGACTTGCATGGTAGAAACTTGATGAAAGTTTAGGTCTGTGCTCATTGCTTCTTTTGTTTTTCTTTTTCTAGAGTTTATTTTTTTCAATAACATGGGCTTTTCAAAAAACTATGTTACAGACAACCTCAACCTTAGGAATGATGCATTCTGTGTGTGATGGCATTTGTACAAGCAGAGGCTTCCCAACCCTAAACCACTCTTTGGTTCATAGTTAAGTACAAATGAGCATGTCAAGTGAAAGCCAAAACCTGTTTGACTGAGCAGGTGCTTGTGTTCACAAGTCATGCATATTGGAGAGTTTGCAGCCTGAAAGAGTAGAACAATGAGATAGTGGAGAAGAACCAAGCACAGAATGCCATCGCTGCTGCTGCTTCGTACCTTGTACAATGATTTTGTGGACACTGGTTCAAATCGTCGTCAATTAGGGTTGAGATTCCTGCTACTGCGCAAGCAGCTGCAAACACCATCATGGACGTTACCTGGAAAGCAACTGACTGATTTTAGTGCCGGGTTGTGATTTGTAGTAAAGCTCTAGGGTACAGAATCAATTTGCTTTTCAACAATGTATGAGGTTTGGGAGGAAATGGAGGTGTCAGAGATCACACCCACCCAGTCACCGATGGCAAACAAGTTGACTAGACAACAGTAATGGAGGCAGGACTCCGTATGTATTGCGTAAATGTCCACTGCCAGCAAGACTGCGCTCCAAATACATTGAAACATGGTTGCTGTCACGAAGTATCTGCATTTTGATCACAGCCAGAGGCTGCTCTAGGGTTAGTATTTACAACAACGGTTCTGTAGCAGTTTTGGAACTTCATGAACCGTAAGCAAAACAAGCTTGTGAAAAGCAAGGGTCTGAAAAGTGGATCATACTGGAAAGCGGTGATGGAGTGGTAGCCGCGAATTTTTATGATGATCATGAAGCCGATGAAAGCGAATGTGATTTGGCATACTCTCGTAACCGCCCCTCCCTTCGAGCCTGGTATGCATGGCAACGCTTTGAGGTTAAACGCGGCTGGAGGTGTGCATCCTTGCCTCACGACATCCACAGGTTTATGCAAGGGGCAGGTTGCCTTCACTTGCGGACTACGCGGCAGTATTACACATCGCAGCGGCCCTTCGCCACGGTTTGTGCACCCGCTTTCCATCACCAGATTCATTCGCAAATGCCTGCAGACGAAGCGAGAAACCGAACCCATGGACCCATATTCCGTTATTTGCTATTGCTCGTATACGCGTTCTCTCTACAACACTGATATCATACTTTCACAAAGCTGAATGAATTCTAGGGCTCGAAAAGTGTCTTCGTTAGTTTTTGTTTTGATCTAGTCCATCGTATTCTTCAAGACTCTCACTGTGCACATGCGATTCTGTACTCTAACCCAACATCGATAACGAATTAAACTTCTTTATTTTCCTCCCTCGAGACAAAACGAAGGCATGTGTGTGTGTGGTGTCGTTCCTCAGTGGGTACTTGCCGGTATGTATGTTCTAAATTGAGTGATTATTAAAACCTAACTTCCCACTTTAAAGAACTTGTCAAACTTAGGCCAATGAGAAATGAAGTTGCTGTTTGTTCATGGAAATTTAGGGTACATGTTACACCATTTGGGATCATTAACTGGGAGTTTGTATATAAATATATATGTTAAGAATGTAACGTGTACAATGTTGAGAGTGGTATAGTAAGAATCATCCCTTAGTCGTTCATCCAGTTTGTCCACACAGAAGGTTTGCCCTACCGACGTTGAGGAACGCTGAGGAAAGAGCACCCTGAGGAGAAGAGTGCTTGCAAAAATTTAATAATTTGGACCAGGTGCAGATCATATATTTTGTGCTGTCAGGTGCTGTTCGGACGAGCCGCGTGCGCTCTCAATCTCGGATTAGCTCTTGGGGATTTCATTGGAGCTACAGCTTGTGCCCATCTGATTAATTTTACGATTGCGAATATCGAGAGTCTAAAATTTCGAAGGTGGGGGACTCTTGTGGTCCTTCACCTGTTTGATTGTATTGTGTTGTGAGGTCTACTGGTCGGTCTGAGAGGAAGAATGATACATTTATATGTTTGCGTGTGTGGGTGTGTTTATTTTTTCCTCGGGTTTTAGTTGACGAGCAGTCATGTGTGGTTTGTGGTAGGGGTTTAGGATCACTGGCGGTAAAGAGGGTTTGCAGTTTATCGTCATTTCGAAATTGGACATATTTTGAAGCCATATTGGAACTGGACTGGTTGTGCTTGTGGCATGGATTTTGATTTTAAAGCTACAAGAGTGACTTGAATGGATGATAGCTCTGTTCATCGGGTTTTGATGTCTTTCAAATGGTTCCACACCTGGTCTGCTGCGCTCGGATTTCGTGTCTGATGCATGATTTTGCGATCGGAACAGTGTATATTTGAATATTTTCATTTTCCGAATCACTCACTCAGCTGACGTAGTTTGTTGGTGATTTTTCAGTGGTAGCTAGCCGAGTACTCAGCCATGGCGTCCTACTTCAACTGGGCGAGCGGAATTTTCGGGGGTCAACCCAACCCTGACTTGCAATCTTCAGGCATGCTCACCAAAGAGCAGCTGCTGCAATTGTTCCAACAGTTTTCGAAGGTCCTGGACGAGCCTGGTGAGTATGCATTTCGATTCTTTCTTAGAAACAATCATCACTTATTGTAAACTCCTATGTCGGATGGCCTGGTCTGCATCCTTGCAACAGTTGCTCGATTGCTTGCATTATATCTTGCCTGTTTTAATTTCCTGTGTCTCGCACAATCTGTTGAATGTTGTAGTGATCTATTGCGCTCCTTTTGTTTTGGATGGAAACAGAGACGAAACGCCGCATTGCAGATGCGATTAAAGCAAAGCAGGTGAATATTTTCTATAGTATTGTTAAATACAGTATCACAATGTCCCGCTCCTTTCCTCATTAGAGTAGTTTTTATTTTTATTTTTATTTTTATTTTTATTTTGAATGACGTCAACAGGGCTTGTACATTTAGTCTTTTGGTATCAATTTTATGAGGATCTTAGATTTTGGTACTTAAACGTGTCTTTCTTAGCTTGGTGGCCGCAGTTTAGCCTTCTGTCTTAAACTCTACAGTCTGGATCTTTACTCCATTTAATATGAAATTTTGTTTTTATTTTGATCCTTCGTTGAATGATGACATCGGATTTTGCAGGAAGCTGTAAACGTTACCACTAAAATCCAGGAAGAGCTATTAGTCAAGATGGGTGTAGGTGACCTTCTTCATACTCTTCTTTTTACCACCCTAGTAGGGTCAAGGTTTCGACTGTCTTTGTCACTTTTCAGATTTATCTATTTATTTTACATTCTTGAAGTGGATGTGAAATATGTTTGGCTTGTCCATTTTTTGAGGCATAGTATTCAGCATAAATTGGTTCTATTTGGATCCATTTGTTCTAAAGCTATCGTCATGTACGGGAATTAGAACTAAATTAACGTTGATTAAAAACAGGGATCATTCCCTGACAGTCATCTGCTAATCTGCCACAGAGGAGATGGTAGATGCTTCAGATAATAGTAGTGGCTCACGTCTTCAGTATATGTTTTTGGAAAATTCAGGACATAGCGCTTACAGTTTACTAGGACAACGTGTTTCCGATAGTGTAGATTCTTGCCATTTCGTCAGACTCTAGTTGACAAATGACACATTTATTGCAGAACCGAAGTTTGGGATTGAATGCTTGGGGAAAGTGAGTGCGATTTATAAAAATGACCGTGATCTGATGATTCAATTCTATCAATTTGTTTCGCGGTAAGCATCCAGACGTTTGTCTTCGTAGGTTTAGAAAGACATGTTTTACTTGTTTACGTGTATTTTTTCTAGCCTGAATGTGACTTAGCGGAGGCCTGCTGTTATCAGCTACTATCATTTTGTGGCACTTTTTTACTTTGACTTTTCTTCTCATCTCAGTTAGTGAATGCCGTTTAGGTGACTGCATCACATTTTGTGTGAAACATTTGTAACTATTTGTGGCATATGAGATAAGTTTTTGATATCAAAATCGTTGGCCAGCGAGGAGATGGCTTGTGAAGAGGCAGAATTAGGACCGGAGGCTTTCGCAAAGAAAATGGAGCAGGTCAAAAAGTTTCAACAACAGGTTGGTACACGTAATATGTTCAAAATAATATAAGCTGTACAATTTACTAGTCCCAAGAATGGTCAGGATTTTGCTAGTGCAAATGGTATGATTATCATTTTCAGCCATTAAGAAGCGATGTGCGAGGTTGTGTAATTAGCGTATCTGCAAAATTGGCACCATTTGAACATGTGAGCTGTGCAGCAAATGGGTATGTTGCAGCAGCTACGGAACGTTCCTGTGGATCAGCAACAAGCTGTTTTCCAGCAGGCAAGTATCTTACATATCTTGGTTATTCGTCCATGGTCGAAAATGTTTGTAGTATGTTTTTGACGCGTTCTTTCCCCCCCGATGTTTCTGAATACATTCAGCCAGACAACTACATATGCCTCGTGCTAGTAACCAGATTTTGCAGGAACTTCTTGAACTGGACACATTTAGTCCAGCATTGTCTGCCACATTTTGTTATTTCATGTGAAAACGACGTCTGTATCTTCTAACGAATTTTCTTTTTGATTCAGCTGCAAACAAAAATGCGTGAGACCCAAAGTTCTGGTGGTGCAGCTATGACCCCTCAGGAGATCCAGGATTTTTTTGCTCGCCAACATCAGGGCAACCAATCGATGGGTAGACAACCCTCTCCGCAAGATATGCGCAATGACAGTAGTTCCTCAGGAAGCAGACCTGGGTCTCAACCTACCTTGCATCAACGACACTTTTAAAGTTGTTGAATTTGTGAATGCTGTGGATCGCTACGTGAACGTGTTTCTGCTTCTGAGTATTTAATGCTTCAAACCTCTTACTGCTTCTCATACTCAAGTTCTAGTGTGAAGACAGAATAGGCAACCATATAATTGATATTTATCGATGTATTGACAGCATTTTAAAGCTGAGATAGGTGTTGCTGCTTTTGTTGTAATTCATGTCGCTGATCTGTGCTGCATACCTGTAAACGCGCTGCAATGCTATCTTGTACAAGCTTCCTCGGACTTTTGTTTCAAATCATGGTGGTATTGTACTTCTGGTGTCGGAGCTTGTGTAAACTGCCGGTGTGGATTTTATGTTGGACAGTCAGAATTGTAGGCATATAATTGTGCATACACTCGTTAACTTTGCCAATTCAGTCGCGGGAGGTGCTTCGCTAAATACTACTGGCATCATTGAAGGGCGTTTGGAGGATCTTTTTTAGTTTGTGCTTGGATTGTTTGCATGTTTGAATCGCCTGTAATTATATAATGTAGGGCATTAAATTTGAAATTCGGACACCAGTTAAGATCACCTCTAAAATATCGTTACAAATACATGTATTTTTCATTGATGATTAAGTCAAGTGTATTGGCATAGGTCTTTCCCTTTGACGAATCTGTTGGTCTTTTCTCTTTGCTTGTTTTTTGGATCTCCCAATGCAGCGATTTGGTCATGCAAGGCTTGTGTCTCATCTCGTGTGAAACTTAAAGCAGTTGTAATCACAGGTTTAAGATGCTACGTTTGTTAGGTTAGTCTCATCTACGGATGTTCTACAGAATCTTAACCCGTATCTGCAGATCAACAACATTTTAGGGTAGATTATATAACTCCAGCAATTAGATGTAGATGGTTTGTAGTGGATCGATCATTGACTCAACTCCAGGTGCATATCTTCAGAACTTGCACCTCTCATCAAAATGCTATCAGTTCGTAATCATCATCTTCAAAACCTCCGAAGCCGAATATGGTATGTTTGCACCCACTCAGCGTTGCTGTTTGTTCTTACGAGATTCTGAAGGCTACCAGTCAGTAGTATGGTTGTGATATGCACTCTGAACTATAGCTCATTCTGCTTCAAAAAGGGGGAGAAATTTTAACAGTTGCAGAGGCGGGAGAGCAATCTCGATTGTTTGCAAATTGAGACTATGTCACCGTCCCCTGAATGAAACTGAACTTTTGGGTGCATGAAAACGCAGTGCAGACCAAAACAAGCACATCGCCATGCTTTAAGAAATGAAGTTTAAGGGGGACTATTTCAAACAGATTAGGGAATAATGAAGAGATTCCATTCTGCAACCCAAGGAAGACGTGAATCATCGTCCGATTATCCTGCAGCTACCACAAAATCTTCAAATTCAAATGTACGCGTGAACAACCTCACTGACGCGTTCTTGTAATATCCTCTCTAGTGCAAATTCTTGAGTTGAGCACATCTTTAGGATCCTCAGAAATGTGGCTGTAGAATTGTACACAATTGGGTCTGCTACTTTTAGACCGAATTCCTGGATCATGCAAGAAACGCTTTCAGTGATTGCCACTTTATCCTATATTGATTTTAGTGCAGTGTCATAACAAATTAGGGTTTCAAAAATGAACTCCTCAACATGTCTTCGCACACGGAACTGGTGGACGAATTCCGATCATAAGCTCTATCGTGCATTCTTTATCATTTATGCAATGCCGACCATCATCTACTGTCGCTAACTCGGCCATAAAACCCGTGCAACCAACCCAACCTCTCCCTTTCACCGAATTCAACATTGTTCTCATGCTCACTTTTCTCCTTCTGCAGGATTCACAAGCATGGCGAAGTCGAAGAGGATGTAGACCCACTTTTCGATGTTGGTGTCTGGAAGTTCTTGCTCTCGCGATGGGAGCGATGGTTGTTGCAACATTGTGGGCGAGACAAAAACCCGCTTCGCACGTGAGACTACCTTTCGTACTTCCATTGTATGCCGGAGTCTTCAATGCTTCTTGGCAGACTCATGCACCATTGAAGGTGTCGTCAACGTTGGATAGGCATTCTCCTCGGAGATCTCTCATGACTAAATCGGAGGCTCCAAAATTCATCTCGGAGGTTCGCCCTGCATTAAAACACATGTATATGATTTTAACTTCGTCGGAGAAATTGTTCTTTCAGTGCAGCTTGTCCAGCTTGCATGCATGCATGTATTCAATACTTATTTACACGCAGCGTATTCTTTGTCTACATGAAGTGCCTCCAAAAAGTTCTTGCACTAAATAACATCGTTATTTGGCATTTAAGTATTACTGTGAGTGCAATGCAAACAAAGGATAAAGTTTTTCTGTGTTTTGAAATCACGTTGTAGGTGTTCGTGTATAAACATGTACATATAATCGATTAAATTAACAATGGAGTGGATTTGAAATAGAATTACAGTCAATTACTGGATGACGACGAGTACTGTCTGTCACAATGCTGCAAAATTAAAGTAATACCATGATTTTTTTTTATTGTACGTCGTGACTAAAACCGGAACAAGTTTTATTGTTGAAATAGATGAGTTTGCCTGTATTTTACAAATACCAGAAGTAAAATGTGGTGGAAGACCATAATCATTACAATTCAAACCCAATAAATCAGCACACATATGTGAAATTCATTAGGAAAATTCTGTTTCCCTTCGTCGATTTTGCAAGCAAGCATGAGTGGCAAGACTGTTTCTTCTCCTTCCTATGACAGAACGGAGATGTCTGCATTTCGCTGTACGTTTTATTTTGGGAGCATGCTATACTCCCGGTGAGTTTTCAAGAGGCCAAAGTGGAAACTCATCCTTGTTTGTTTGTGGACAGAGCGTACCAAATCAAAGTGGAGGTGCAAGGAAAGGTATTCCACATGGCTCTGGACACTGGAAGCTACGCATCGTGGTTGCTCTGTAACTATCCTCCTTTCGCGCAAGGGGTACGTATCCACCATCCGCGGCTTCCCCCTTCATATAATTACTCATCGACGTCATCTTTCAGTATTCGGGTCCCACAAGAGAGAGGTTGCATTTCCCAAGTTTCTCTCATCACTGGTCAGAGTACAACGGAGTCGAGTAAAACAAAGCAACCAGAGTCTCGAATGTGAATCTCATGCGACCAACCAGAGTGGAGGTTCATTGTCATGAACAGCAAAAAGAAGTGTTCTATTCACCCAAACCGAAGAACTACATCTCAGCAGCGAAATACAAATCCCAACCCAAGCGAGCGCACACGCAAGCCTCCCTTCCACCGCTCTCATTCAAGGAGTGCGGCCCAGACTTGGAGCATGTCTGCTTCGAGATCGAAGATCGTCACCACCACTGGGGCCGAGTAGCAGCGGCGCTCGTCGAGGACGCCTTTACACTCGCTCCGGAATTCCCCACTTCGCAATCAGTTCCAGTGAGACTCCAATTTGGGTACACCACGACTCCTACGTCCCAAAAGTAAAAAACACACACACAAATAACAAAAAACAAAACCCTAAACGCTGGGGCGTATGACTGTGTGGCAGGTGCGGGTTCCGAGTGGCGCAGAGAGGGATGTGGTGGGCAACAGGCGCTGGGTCTGGCTATGGCCATGGAGTGATGGGGCTGGGAAACAGAGGTCTGAGCGTGAGCAAGCAAATGGCGGATTCGGGGCTGGTGGACCACATTTTAGGGTTTTGCTTCGCATACGGCGTGTTCCAGAGCGACCATGACCGGGAGCACCGCAATACCGACACCGTGGGCTACGTCGTGCTGGGGCGGCCATGGGACTACGACGACAATGCGTACCAGTGGATCCCCATCGGGAGCTCCCCCAAACATGGGTACCCTATCTCCACCCCCCTTTGGTCCTCTATCACACCGTCGCACTAACCGACCGACGGCCACGTTACCGCTTCTTCTCCTTTTACTTTAAGTTTTACTTTAACTTTTACTTTTTTCGTTTTTGGAAAGTGCCAAGTTAACGGGGTTGGTGCATACGGAGTTTCTTTAAAAGTAAAAGGTTGTTTCAAAGCTCTTTTTTTTCTTTTTATTAATGTGAAAATTGTATATTTGTTAATAGGTTTGATGTCATCTATTTTGTGCACATGCAATATGGGGATTTGAAATATAATATTGTCAAAGAGAGTAAATACTTTGGAGCAACCATCATTGACACTGGAACCATGTACATGCACTTGGTGCCAAATTTGTTCCAACTTGTTTATGAAATTGTAAGTGGGATTAATACAATTATTGGATGTTTGTAAATTTTCCATTGGAAAGTATAATATATGTGTGTACACGTATTGCTTTGTTGATTTATTTATAATGCAATTGGATTTTTAGAATAATGTTTGTATTGCAAATCCAATGTATGGAATGAATTTGTTTGCTACATTTGTGATTTGCATACTTCAAATATGTGGTGTACTTTAAATAAACATAGTTTTGGTATATTCTATAAGTAGAAACAGTAAGGTTGTGCTTTGTTCTTTGTTTAGAACAAACAAGTGTGGTTCTTTGATTATAACATTTTAAATATGTATGAGAGTTTCGAATATATATATATATATATATATATATATATTATCTTAATGAATTAGTTTTGAGTTAAAAAAACGACACAACACAACAACAATGTTAATTAACAATTAATTTTATTGTAATATAGGTGATTGAAAGTGCTTTTCATCATGGCTACATTGAAGTTCATAATTATGGTTACAATACACACTATTGGCGAAGGTGATTGTTACCATTTTCTTCATAGCATTTTAAAATATATGTTTTTTGCATCATGTGAAATAGTTTTAGGTTTATTTAATAAAATATGCCAAATTTTTATTTTCAACATATAATCTTTATTGGTGTTATTAAAATATATTTAGATTTGCTAAATACAAATGTCTAATCACATGAAACATTTTATTTAAACACAGTCCAGTATTGGATAGTTATTTTTCAATATTTAATCATTTCCATGAAATGAAGTTATTCTTTAACACGGAATATGAAGAAAAATACACATTTCATATAAGTCCATTTGGGTATCTTCATATAGTTGTAAGTTTCCAACTTGTTTTTAAAATAGTATAGTTAAATGTATTTTTAAATGAAAAAATAAATTGAAATTTTGAAAAATAAAAATCCTACAAATACCAGTATTGATACATAGTGGTCTCTGACACAAAAGGACACAATAAATATTCCCGTGGAGAATAGAATTTTGCATCAATACATTGTTGCTTTAGCCGTTCTAGAAAAAACTGAAGAAGAAGATCAAGATGCATTTAATGTAATTGGAGGTAAATATTTATTTCTTTTAACATCTACATGAATATACACATATATATATATATATATATATATATTTGTTTTTTTATTTGATCATGATAGATGTTATAGGTTTTAATAATAAACTTATATAATATACTTATATGAAAATAATACTTGATTTCCTCCAAAAAAAATACAATAGAAGTGAGATTAAATATAGTTTTAGGATAAAAATAACTTTGTAAATATTTGTTTACTTGATATCAAAACTTAGTTAATGCTACAAAAATTGAGTGACCTTTGATTATTACTGCACATCAACAAATTGGTTTTTTGTACATTTTACATTTTACTTCATTAAACATATATTTTGTACCTTCCGTTAGTGACATAAAATTATCATTATGGAATTCAATTTACACCAATTATGCAGATTTGCAAGAAAATTCTCAAATTCTACTTAATTTAAAACTAAAGCAATTACATTGCCTGAACGTATGTTAGATCCTATACATCAATCAAAATTCATGAAGAACAATACTAAGTTTTTCTTGAAAATTTTACCGTGCATAGAACTTATCATGTGTTAATCCATATTATTTGGAACTAATACTACCATTTAAGACTGATATGTTTAATCAAACATGTAAGACAGATTGGACAAAACATGAGGTCTACAATCAAAAATTAAAATACCAAATTCGAAATAGCTCAATATTCCTGTTTGTTTTCAAATTTTTATGCGTGCATTAAGTACCATCACTGTTTTCAGCACATAAATGTGTTCGACTTTTCATACAATGTGTGAAATTCACTTAATATCCCTGTCAAACTCTGTTAACACTGTGCAGGTATAGCCCTGCGTGGAAATAAATTGATAATTGACCACGTCAAACAGCGAATAGGTTTCAAACCAGAGTACAAATGCGCTATAGAAGGTTAGTTTTACATGGTTTTTCCAGCGATGAAGGATTGAAGGATGCGAAAGAAGTGCTTGCAAAATGAAACCCAACAGATAGACCTCAGAAACATTCATTGAGTTGTCACAAAGTGGGCAATGGGAATGAGGGATTTCATGTTCTAGCTACAAAACAGCATGGTTGTCCAACTCTTACTAAAAGGAGAGATCACATTAACCCAATCCCAAAAAGTTGGATTTTGGAAGGAAAATTCAAACAAAACTCAAATCCCGAATGCTTGACCAGGTTTTACATTGGGTAGTGTGGCCTAGACAGCAAAATGAAAGAAGCCATTCTGTAATGTCTAGAAGTATTCGCATGGAAGACGGTCAGTCATTTCCTGTACTCTCAACTCAAAACAAAACCTCTACAAAATTGTTCATCGTATGCACGAAAACCAACCAAACCCCTCAAGCATAAGCAGCATGTTTACCGCCCCTTAGAGACTCGTGCAACTGCTGAGAGCGTTTGAAAGTATAGATGTTATCTATTCGATTAGCTGCTGCTTTGGGTGCCGACTTGCCATCTTCTGCCAGACCATCTCCTCGCACAGTATCTTCAGGAATCGTACCATTCGTCGTTTCTTGAGGTGCCTCGCCCTTGGCAATTTCTAACTCGGCAACGTGTTGCCCTCCGTAGACTTGAATGCTCAACTTTCTGCGATTTGGAGATTTTCGAGAAATGTTTTGTGCTACGAAGTCTAGCAGCTCTTCCTTGTTCACCTTTCTCAAGGCAGCTACCTGTAAATGAAAAATGATAACAATAGATCATGTATCATGTCATGGACTTTTATCGTTCATTCAATGTACACAAGAAATAAACAATGGAAAGTATACAAGGAGGATTCAATACAAGAGGCTAACACTTAGAAAGCCAAATCATACCTCAACTTGGGGTCTGTTGAAAGTCAATGTTCCGTCCTCAATTTCACCCCAGTAAAATCTACTCTCTTCCCATAAGTTTTTGTGTTTTTCTAATTTGATCTCAACCAAGGTGTCAACGTTTTTCTGCGTGCAGCCAAATTCATTAGATGCATCCTGGTTCATGGATAGGTTTCGGAAAAGATTTTTCATTACGATATCTTCAAATCTACACCCTAAAGAACAAAGACCTGGAACAAAAAAGTATTGAAGAAGTTTGTGCTACCTTGAAATCTTCATCTGACATTTTCTGCAGATCTTTTTCGAATTGCTCTAGAAACACTTCAACCCTCTCTTCAAGACCTCGTGGATCCTACATTTAGGCATACGAGCAACAAGGATTGTAATCGACTTAATACATTCATCTTATCAAAAGAGAAACTAAGACAGTCACTTTAAAAAGTTCTGCAGTGAAGCAGTCTGCTAGGTTCAAAATCACTAGAATTAACACAGAAGGTGTTAGCAATTTTACCTTTGTAGTTGATTGGATAATAAAATGTGCCCCTCGCACTCCATAATCATTCCTATAACAGGACAGATGCAGTCATCAAATAAGTGACCATCGTTGAGTTGATGATGTTGGCAACATAAAATCGATAATGATAATATTGGATGTACGGAATAATGACTTAGATCTACCCTGGAGTCGAGACTTACTTGGACATGAGAAATACAACATAACCAAGTTGCTCCACAGTTCGAAGCTGATGGAAAACTTCACGCTTTGCAGCCAGCACAAAAAGTTCAAGCAGAACATTTATATGCGTGTTATCCTGTCCAACCTGTATCCAGCACCAGCCACGCGTAAGATGAAGCACAAAAATAGATGATAGCATTCAACAAGTCCGCTCACCACTAGCAAAAAAGGAAACTGATATCAATGTATAAAATCGTCGAATCGAATGCACAATACTCGAGCAGTGTACAATACCTGGAAGTAAGTCTGCAGAGCAGAATTGTCATCCTGAGGGTTCGTTCCAGCAATAGGGTAGTACCAGTCAGCGCCAGGTCCCAATTTCACAATTCTCTGTTCTATGTGCTGAGATCGAAACGGAGGCCTAGCCTTTACTAAAGGCCCATCAGCAAGAGTGTTCTCAATCTGCTCCACTAGGCTTTCTGCTTCCGTGGATGTCAAATTCCCTGAAAAAATATTCCTGGAAACATCAGCTAGGTTCCCTCGAAGCGCCAGCAGGAATTATTTACGATGTAAACACTTCCTAAACATGGTTTCCATATTGTTTTTAAGAAACGAAATTTCTCTACATATATTTACGGTGCGAAAAGTGGTTATGTCCCTGAAATACAATGCATTTTTCCACAGCCTAGGTGTCTTATAATATGTGGCACCAGAGTTTTCTTGATAAGCAGTGTTCGTACCTGCTATAAAGCACTCAAAGAAAACCCGCGACAGTACGCGAGGGAAAAATGCAGACAAATCACGGGCCTCCAAGGATGGCAATACTTCAATAAACTCGTTAATGTGCCAACGCTTGTGCTCTAGCAGCATGGAACAATTATACATAACCTGCTGGTATGGTTGCTGAAACCGAAGATTCATACAATCCTTCATAACCTTTTCCTGCTTTCACAAATCAGATCAGAACAATTTTATGGAAGTCTTCGCTTTGTGTGGTTTTTTCTAAGAGAAAGCGTGGCCTGTATGGGGTCGCATGAGTTCAGTATTTACATTAACAGTTTGAGATTGTATGTTTTCTCATCAAAAAGGACCGAGACAAAGTGCACTACGTCAACGTTTCTTGTCCTTTCCGTGCTATAGAAAAGACTAGGATCTTTTCCTTCAGTACAGAGCAATAGGAAATCAATAGATAAGGATTTGAACCTTGATGACTGAGAACCGCTCCTCTTCCACTTCGAAGTTAACAATCTTGTCACATATCTTCTCAACCAAAGTGATGAGCTTGTGGTGGTAGCCTGAAACGGATACCTGTAACCCATTCATCGAATTTCACACATTAGGACTGTAACTTCACATGTATTACTCGAGCCATCTTCAAGGTTACCATGAAACCATAGTTAATATATTTCTAGAAAAAATACCACAAACATACCTGGAATCCGGTCCCAGTTGTTACAATACTGTAATTTAATCCAGCAACCTGTGCATAGTAAGCTGCACAAACAAATCTTGAAATTCAGGACAAGAATTTCAACACGATGTCCTTTCTCCTTGAAAATCGAATGAGGCTATTCAATCTCGGTCAAGTGACTTTCTCCTTAAATATGCAGGACGCTAATAAAAGGTCAGGTAAGAACACCACCACAAATATCTATTAAAAGAAGCAAGGCATAAGTTTAAATCGAAATTTTGACTAGAGAAAAGCTTCGGCCATTTCAGAAAATGAATACGAATGTCAAGATTTCCCTCGACGATTTTAGCTCAACAGCAGTAGAATGTATTCTAAGGTATCTTGCGAATCTGCGAGCTTACCATATTCGTTCAAGTAGTCCACCAGTAGTTTTGTAAATACTCGAGTCAATATGCTCGCTTCTGGTGAATAATGAGACTCTGGACAATTAAATTGCATTTGAATACAAGCCTTAGGTGTGCGGAACTTGGTATCAGGCTTGAACCACAACCTCGACATTTTTGTTTTCCTCAAGATGAAAGGGTGATCCACCTGAATATTGATGAGTGCCATTCATTAGCTGGCTTGCACTGTTGGAAGCGACATCCCAACAAGATAATTGCAAACCTAATAAAAAAAAAGGAAAAAAGTGGACACCTTTGGCTCGGGATCTCTGAGGCTAAAGTCGGTGGGAATGAAAACATTTGCACTCGGCAAGTGCAGCTTCTCATGGGTCGTGGCTTTTGACCACTCCTGCAACGTAGGATCAACATTAGATCGAGCATGCCGCAGTTAATACAGAGGAATTGAACTTAGGATTTCCGTTACATGCTCATTACAATCACCAACTTCAAATTCTTCGTTGAATTTGCTCATACATAGAAATCAATTTCTCTATATCCGATTCAATCGAAACAAACGAATGACAACCTCGAGTCAAATTAAAGCATAATAAATATAGCTTCCGATTAAAAAGAAAAAGGTCGTACCTGCACCAAATTTTCTTCAATTCTTTCTATGATGTAGTCCGTCCCATACCAGGGCTCCTTCTGAGAGGTTTTACCTTCGAATCGTTTAGAATACCAAAATATCCTGAAAGAGGGCATTAAAAACACCATCAGAAGCAGACACAAAAGATACAGCTACTTGCCTTTCAGGGCAACATTACTTAATACACCTTGTGATCTGAGTACAACATGCATTCTTGACAAGAAAAAAGAAAATTCACAGTTAAGAGAAGGTAATCAAAATAAGCACCTCACTCGCTCAGGTTTCAATTGCTCGATTAGGCCTGAAATGGCTTCTGCATCAAACTGTCGGGGTAGTGAAGACCCGGCTAGCCAGTCTCTTGGAGGATAAAGCTGGAGACAGGTAGAACTATTAGAATGTACGCCGATGGACATTGCTACCTCTTACAAATTTATAGCAAACATGAATGTAACCAAAGGGAGGTGCAGTTTAGTCGTTATAAATTCGCACCAGCATATTCCCTGCAAGATCCGTGACGTATGAAATGGGAGGTCGCTTGTCCTGGAAATGGAACTTCATCTCGCAGACAGCTCGAACCTTCCACATTATAAGAAACAAATACAGTAAGTTAGAGACGTTCTTGGGACACCTTTCCATCAAACTTATGAGTTCTGGAACTAAATTTAGAAACAGATGAATTATGTTATATATATATGATGATCCAGAACCAAAGAACTCGACACGACGGTTACCTCTTCAAACATCCACTCAGCAACACCCTGCTGTTGCAACACTCGTATGTATTGAAACGTGAGGCTCACTACCTCTTCCATGTGATCTGTAACCACGATACAAAGTCAATAAGAAACCAAGAGAACCAAGATCATTCAGACTTAAAATCGGCTGAAACCGCCAAAATAAAGATGGCATACCTTGTCCAATATCAGTTAGTTCGATTGCAATCATAAAGAATCCATACTCTAAACTGCTGTCTATTTCACCAGCGCTCAAGCTGTTTGCCCACCCTGTCATAGATGCAATTCATCACCAATAATTATGATTCACACGAATAAACAGACACAACAATTATAGGTTGGATTAAAAATGTGACATCAGTTTATCACTACTTCAGAACAAACTATCCATGACTCGCCCCAACTTGAATAGGGAATATAAAACTGATAGGATAGAAAACCAAAAACAAACTGTTATAAAATAGGAAACACGAATGAACATCAACATTACAACAAATAAAGGCACATAAATCAGGATAGTTTATATCTCACCCAATTTCTTAAGAAGCGCAAACAGAGATCCGTCAGCTTCATGTCCAATCAAATGTCCAAGATAACGTGATGGTGCAGCCATATAGTTTTGAATCTCTGGCGTGATAGGAAACATCATTTCCAGACTGTGGCCTTCCCTAACAGGCACAGCCTTAACTATTATCTGAGAATTTCACATCCCAAAAATGCTCTTAATAACAGCGTAAAACACACCAGTCATAATGCATTTAACAACTGTTTCAACGAGAGGACATGTACAGCCAGATACAACTCATGACAACTTGGAAATGGATCAACCTTAACAGATAGTCTCAAGTGCTTTATTAAGAATGAACAGGATATTTCGCACAAAGATCATTTTACCTGCAAGTGCTCAGGAAGACATGGCTGTCCAGTGAACTTCTCAGCTTTCCTGCCCGTGTTCTTGATGCGACTGAACTTACTGTGGACTAAATCCGTAAGATCATCCACCGACTCTGTACAAGCCGATCAGGATGAATCATGTCAGAGGAATACTCATGTCACAGTGTTGATACTTTCTACCACAATGGGAAATTTGTGAGACAGGCCTGAAGCATAGCAACAAGTGAAAGTTATGAAGACCTAATCCAATGGAGATTACTAAATATAAACCAAATACATACCCCTGCCGTAGACAACAAGCCGCATGAGATTGGCAGAATAGTTGGCTTTATAAAATTTGACCAACTCATCAAGTGTATCCACTCCCCTCGATTTTGGCCCAATATCAAGGGTCTCCAAATTTCCTGCATACAGACATGGCCGTAGGGATCCGTAAGCATGTTCAATGCTGAGCAAAATGTCAAAATTGATCGATTGTGAATGGTCAAAGAGAATTCTTACCAGTTCCAAACTTGTGAAACGGATGATCTTTAGAGCTAACCATTTTAGTCAACTGCATGCAACAAAAAGAGTTTACGTCAGATTTTTAAGAGAAGCCACCGATCAGCTTTTGTATTAAATCCAAGAACAAGCTAGCATCATTAGGCGAAAAGATTGAGGAAACCATACTTGATTCATTCGCCACATATCCATAGTCAAGTTCTTGCTGTTTTCTGATCGACACAAGACCCACCCCATCCTATCATTAGATACCAAAATAGCCACCGCTCATTTCTAAACGAGAAAGGTACTATATAAATTTTTAAAATTGGAAATCTTAGATATGCCAATAATAAAGCCCGCGGAGAACTACACACTCAAGCAAGTTGCAGCGTTTAAGCAAAGGTGTAAGGTATGTGTTACTCCATTCCTACTAGTCCTCATTGATGACAGAAATCAGCATCAAAATCTAAACGTCACTCTAAAAACTTGGGCAGAACATGCCGTACCAGAGTCAACAGCATTGATTTCTCTTGACGTTGCTTCCGCGGAGAGTAACGGACATATAAAAAACTGGGAAAATCTGCACACACAATACCATCATGTGTCAAGTGACATCAGCAACCTGTGTACACTGGATGTCAAAATAAACACAAGTGATATTATCTCAATAGGCCTCGCAAACAAGATCTTTCAATTCATGGGCTTCAGCGAGAATGGGCTTCTGGTTCCTAAACGATCTTCAACTCTGCTCTAATACATGTAGAATACAAGGAATCTTTCTCTCGTCAAAAGATTCAGCGCTACCTGTCCAAAGCCTCCTCCAGATAATCTGCACTAACATCAAAGTGATAATTCGTATGCTCCGCCGCAGTGAAAGCATTTGAATGGCCTCCATGCTGCACACAAAACTGCTTTTGTTAAAGAGGTTCTGAAGTACGCAATCGAGATAACTAATATTCAAAAGTACATACGTTGAAAAAATCACAACTGGAAAGCTACGAGCCTGCATGTACACCTCAGTGAGATACTTGGAATAGCTATCTTCGTCTGGATATTTCTCACTCGAAAAGAAAAGCATGTGCTCTGCATTACCCACTCCAACCCACGGTTAAAGTTCATGAAAGATACAGAAAGTACAAACAAGATCAGTTGAAGTCACTCCTCGCATCAGAATGAAACTGAACGCACAATTGATAGCCTCTGTTAATAAATATTATTGTAAGGACAGAAGAAGATTTCTAAATCAACTTCCAATCTCTCGTGGAACAGAAAATGAAGAGTTGCCTTCCCGGCAAACATATATGAAAGTCCCACTCTGAGGTGCAATAACTGTAGACAAAGTCAAGCCCTACATTCTATTCTTCAGTAGAGAGCTGCATTCATTCAGATTAAAAAATTAAATCATTGCATGAAACCATAACGCATTTAAAATTAAAACGCATCAAAGAAAATATACAACAGATCGCACACCTAAGAAGTGAGCCAATCCCTCGAGTCCCTTCGGATCGCTGAAAGATCCTACATTCACAACCATCGAAGCTGCTGCCTGCAATACCGCAACCAAATTCACTATTAACAATTGGAAATGGGACAGTAAGTACGTCCTAAGAAGAGTACCTACAATCTCAGTGACGTGCATGAGCTTTCCTGACATGAGAGGTGGGATCAACAAGTCAGACTTTACTATACCAGCTACTTTACAACCAGGACTCGAAAATTTTAATGAATTCTATGCATTTCAGCCAATTACATGAAACATGGTATCAACAACTAGCAGAGTGTGTAGCATCCTGTTCTCAATAATGAGAACCAACAATTGAGCAAAATATGGTTATATTCAGATCCTCTTCTTGGCATGAGCGTGTTCAACTTCTCTCGATTGGTGAATAGAAGGGATGCTGTTCAGAGCCTGGCACGTAACAAGGAATCGGTACATATCCTACAGAACTAGTGTAAATCATAATGGCGAGTCATTCACAGATTGCAGACTGTTTGCAAGTGCTAGTGAAGAGGTCTATAAAGACAGTAAAGGAGGAAAACAATCTGAGATATACACTCAGCATCCAAAATTAGTGTTTGAAGAAAAAAAAAAAAATACTAATTCAGAATGAACCCCCCCCCCCACACACAACTACGAAAAATCTAGGGACAGGAGTTCCAAACGTGAAATATAGCACGTGGTGTAGCATGAAGACGTGTGAACGTGTATTTCCTGCGATTACTTCATACATTCGGTAAATTCTTCTGGAATCGATTTGTAACCGTCCTTCTAGAGATGCTTAGCAACGATCCCTCGTCACCTGAGATATTTGGGCATTCGAATCGTACTCAGAAGTAGGGGCGATGGTTGCAAAGCATTCTTGCACTTGTAGTGCTGCACAGAAAAACTATTCTACAGAAATTCCATGCTGCACCATGACGAAATTCCTTCTGCATCTGCATCCTGACCTAAACTGTCCGAGAAAACGATTGAAACTACTGATCCTTCACAGGGTTTCGGTACCGGGTGGAGCATAACGAAAACTAAAATTCTTTCGAGTAGCGATATCCAAATCCCAATTTATTTCTACATTCGAAAATAAAACTATAATTTAACTATTAAAAACAAAACAAAAACAATAATTTAACTATTAAAAAACTTTAAAAAAAAACAAACGTGCAATCTTATCAACAAAATAACCGATTAACCAAAAATTAAAAGACGGGAAACTAGGAAAAAAGCTAAAAATTAAAAATCCACACCATCGCAACAAAGAAATCGCGCCATCATGACCCTGGACCCCAAATTTCCCTCTGCGCACAGGACCCAATTCCAGACTGCCGCACCTTATCGGTCTCCGGGTCGCTGATGATGAGCGCCTGCAGCGCATTTCCCAAGCCCACGCATCTGTAGTCACGTTTATCCGTGCGCGGCTTCAACACGTCGGTGGCGTCAACAACAACCTCGGCTGAGCCTCCGCGCCCCATTTCCTCCACTGCACCGAGAGATGCGCCAGCCGAAAGAATGAAGGCAGAAGGGAGGAAAAGAAGAGAAGAGTAGAGAAGAGGAGGAGGGGGAAGGGAGTGTGGGTCGGAAATACAAAACAGAGCACCAAGCAGGGGTCAGAAGTAACGCAACAAGAGAGGGAGAGGAGAGGAGAGGATGTGATGGGGTCTGGTCTTGTGAGCGGGCGATGGAGGACGCTGTTGTTGCGGTGCGGTAGCAGAATCGCACTCTTCCTTTGCAGCAAGCAATGCAATGCAAAGAAATGCAGTGCCCTCTCTCGTCTCTCTCTCGCTCGCTAGCACAAGCACGCAATCTCTCACTCGCAATGTAGCCCGCCCCGCTTCACGCCCTCTCTCGCGCCGGCCTCGCCCTCTCTCTCGTGGCCGGCGCTCCGCTTCGACCTCGCGCGTCCGCGTTTGTCAGCGTCTCTGGACGTCCCCACGCGGCCCCTCACGGTTCCTCGCGTCCCTGCTCGATGTCCTAAATTGGGCCTTGTCTTCTTATTCCGCTATTATTTATTTATTTATTGGCCCTCTTGTTTACTAAGTTGGCTGCTAACCTTGGCGGTGAACCCGCTTCTTTGACTTTTCAGGGCCACATCGGACTAATTTAAAGGGGGTATTGCTTTAAAATATAATTATTCATTAAAACTTGTTAGTCAAAATTCTCATATCTTCCTTGCCTCGAACTTCATCCATTTGGATTTGTGTGTGTGTGAATGAGCACGTGTATATATATAAGGAATTGTTAAACTGATCTGAGCATTTATTTAATCAACCCACCCATCCTAATCACTGTCAAAAAATTCTCCATTAGTGGATCTATATTGGTCGAAAATCAATGAAAAGATGGTTTAATCTGCAACCAATGATGATGGATAGGTTGATTTAGTAAATGTTTTGGTCAATTTAACAATTCCCTATATATATATATATATATATATAAATCAAATTTTCATCATAAAAACTCATCATCTATTTTTTAAAAATAAATTTAAATAAAAATATGTTATTGATTTTTTTTCTTCTTCTTTTTCTTCTATATATATATATATATATATATTTCTATCTTTCTTTATAATGAAATTTGTGTCAATATTTAATAATTGATTTTTATCATCTTGAAAACTATGTGAGAAGGATTTAGTACCTAAAATTATTTGAATCTCTTTCATAAAACGAAGAGCCAAAAATAATTGAGTGGAATGGTACAAAAAACAAAGTTGTTAATTCTTGTCATTTGTGCCAAATTCCTATATGTAATTTTTATATTAAAAAAATAAATTATATACATTTACATTTATATTTATTTTTGTTTTTTTATTGACATGATAAAGAATTTATTCCTGCACTTACTTCTTCATTCTCACAACAACAGGATTTAATTATTAAAATATAATGTGTCTTAGAAGTTTCTTTACATTTTTAAGAAGTACCTCAGAGAATTATTACATTCTTTCTGAAACCTTGTAGATTATACCCAAATTTAAGCTTGAAGATACTTTTACAAAATCCATACTGTATGCTTACATCAATAAGACCATTCACAAGATAATTAAGAAAATTCAACATAATTAATGCCTTCATAACACTATGACTCAGATTCTAATTTCCAAGGAGAGGAAATAAAATAATACCTATATATATATATATATATATATAACAAATTAACTCCAAATCAATCAATGAAAGTATCACTTTTTATTTATGCATGTTTACTTCAATGCCTTTTTTTATTAAATCTGATTTTAAATGCCTATAAATAATCTTGCATAAAGTAATGTTCATAGAGAGTAACAAGATTTATGAAAACTTCATGGTTTAAATAAAACAAAATGAACCAAAGTCAGAACTGATTTTGATCAAATGTTTCAAAGATAATTTTATAACCCTACAATGATTGTTATTCTGAATTATTTAAAATTTTTGAATGTTATATTAGAAATAAATGCTAAGATCTAGAATTTAATTAGAAATAGTATTATTATAAACTAATAAATGGAAAATAATTATTTTTGAAATTTAATTTAATTTGTGTTCAATTCACTTTACATTACTAATATAATCACTCATATTCTTATGTTTTGAAATTTCTACAATAAATTTAAAATTATTTAATTATTGCATTCTTCAACAACAATTATCTATTGCTTTTCTATTTGTCACAGTAATGATTCTATTATGATCTTAAAATTATTTTGGATGTAGTAATAAATCATTTATAAATTAAAAGCTAATAACTCATTCATTTTCTAAAAAGGAATTGAGTTTTGTTCTTAAAATGTTTACACATTTAAATTCCTCTTTACTCTATGAATTCAGAGAAAAGAAATAAACAACAATAATATCAATAAAAATTATCTTAACTCGTAGATTTTATGTAAAAGTTTATATTAACAAAAACTTAATAGAAATTAAAAACAGCAAGGTGATACAACCTCTTTTATAACACAGTTTATTAGTTTTGTATTAGGAGTTTTATTATTAAATGTTACTTGGTGGACTAATCATCTGCAAAGGTTAGTGCTTGCAAAGCATTATGCTAAAGGTATAACCTTTTAATTCTATATATATACTATGTTAAATTGTATTCATAAAATATTACAACATAAGTCGTGGATGATTGTATTTTAGTGCAAAATGTCTTGTCTTTTAATTATTATTACTATTTTCTTATTTGGTGCTAACTATTTTATTTTATTAGTTAAAAAAAAAAAAAAAAAAAAAAAAAAAACTAATACATACTCAAGGATGTCAATTTGGGCATAGTTGTATAAACAAAAATTATAATTTGTCTTAGTAATAAGTCTTGTACATACTCATGATTCTTACACTAGCAAGGTAGGCATTAAAAGATAAACACTTTTACACCTATACAATTCCAAAATAGAAGCATTGTCCATTAGGAATGTCCATCCAAAATATATTTTTATTTTTATTTGATTTTTTAATACAATAAATGTTCAATAGGTATCTTATACTACCAAAAACATGATACTAACAAATGTGTGTTCTTACATTGTCAATATCACAACATGGATGAATTTATGTCATTGAATAAAAAAATATAATCATATTATGTAGTAAATAATAAGGTAATAACACTTCCATATGCAATTAGACAAAAAAGTAAAAATAAAATTATTTGAAAGTCTTGGATGCAAGTAAAATCCCTCATCGAATATGTAATAAATGCCTTTGAACAACACAAACAATGTCTTATATTGTATTAAAAGATAATTAATAAAAGTATAATATTGGTTGGATTCTAATTTTACACTTGTTTTATATATTTAAATATATAGAACAAGTGTAAAATTAACAACAAACACCAATTGCTTTCCGTTGGTTGTAACATTAATAAGAATGAAAGAAGAATACTTAAATTACACATTACTGACTAATAACAGTTCCATTCCTAAAATTTCTAAAAACGTGGAATTACAAAATTTATGAAACTTCAACACCGATATCAAGTTTAACCTCACTAACTATTCTCCTGCACCATATTAATCCTGTAAATATCAAGTCAAATTCTGAAAAGCTTACACATATCAAGGAGCTTGTGGGACCAACGTGGGGGTGGGTAGCAGCTGTGGATAAGAGGTGAAGAATCTAAATAGACTGGGTTTGCTATGACTTGGTATTGGTCCGCAGATGGAGAGAGCAATTCTGCTGCAGTGCAATAAACAAAGAAAGGAAAATATAAAGCACACACACAAACACACACTTAAGCATCCACACTCTTACTCATTCACACACTTACTCACTCACACACATATAATCAGTCACCACCGCATGGTGGCTAACATTCCAATGCACTGTGCTGGGACCAATGCGGAAGCCCAAGGCACTGTAAAGTGGGGGGGGCATGGTAGCTGTAAAGCTAAACAGTTCCAAGCAAAAGGGGCACACACATCGATCTCCCAACTAGGGCACTAGAAGGGAATGTTTTTTCTGGTTTCGGTGCCAAACATGGCATCAGCATCACCCAGCTTGTCAGTAACTGTCAGTCACACATGCAGCAACAACAACATCACCACCACCATCACCACCAGCGACACTCTAATCTGGCATCCGCTGCTTTCTCACCCACAGATCTAGCTCGTAAATGTATTTTCAGAACAATACACTGACACGGTCAAAAACAAACATAGTTTGTTGCGGTGAATGTTTTCCCGACCCGTTGATGCCGCCTGCTGGTTTGCGGTTTTCAGTTTCGGATAGTTCCCACCGGCTTGAATCTGGGGTGGAGGTGGTGGTGGTGATGGCGTGGATGGATTGCCGGCGCTTGTGGGGGGGCTATTTGGACGATCAGGAAAGCAGGTTTTGCAGGGACAGCCGCACGTAATACTCGCCTTCACGCATGCAGAATCCTGCCACGGTTCTCCTCGCTGGCCGAGGCAAGTAACGCCAAAATTGGAATCGGGAACAAAATGAATGACGCCATCTGGATAGCACCACACCAAGCGCACATCCAGCGCCTCCCTCCCCTCCCCAGATGGATCGATCGATCCCATCCTCGACATGGATGCGATTGGCGTTTACCAGGCGCGTGGGGAGGGGACGAAGAGATATTTATTTCCACGAGGAGGATCAGCAACACCCACCCACCCTGTTTGTTTGTTGGTTTGTTGGTTGGTTAGTTACTTCCCTTGTTTGCCAGATTACCCAACACCACCTCTTTGTTGTAAGCTTCTGTAGCTCCCCCTCCCGTACTCACAATGCTTGTGAGAGCACATATCCTGGATCATCACCTCGTTTGTTTGTTTGTGTGCCTGTTTCTCCCTCTCTGCGACCCAACCCTTTTTTCTTCGTCGTCTTCTTCTTCACCATCCAGTGCACTGCATGGAGGCTGTATATTGAAAAACAGAGTAATACACTTAAGTAAGCAAAACTCCACCATGATTATATGACTACTATGCCTCACATAGTATTCTTATATGTATTAGTGGCTTAATCTATACTCAACTTACTTAGTGGGTGAAATGATGAGGGGATAAGTACTATAGATGAAGTGATTCAATGTCTATGAAACTGAAATGGAATAAGTGTCTTGGGCAAGGTGATGTGGAGCATTTAAAGATATGTCACTCTTATGTCAATCTTTATTTTTGCTTATTTTCAACTAAGTAATTGAAAGGTATAAAAATTTTGAGTCAAAATCTAAAATTAAATTATTTGTTATTGAAGTTTCAATATACTATAGGATTGATAGGGGTTTATTTAAAATTTACGATTTAATTAGGACTTACCACAAACATACATATTTATCTAAATAAGCAGTATTAGGCATAAGATAAATGTAAGTAGATTTGATAATACCTTATTGAAAAGCTTCTTGGAAGCTTGAT